GTCAGTCAGTCAGTTGCAACGTAGAACTTCGTACGTATGTACATAAGTTCATGTTGCCATACCACATTATTAGCACAGAGACGCAAATGTCAAATCAAATCCCATAGTGATAAAGATGGTAGAGGTATTAATGTTATCATAAAGAAGACTAGGGTTTAAGATATTATTCAAAAAATATAATTCAGTGAGATAAGGTTCGAAAGACAAAGGTAGAGGTGCTGACGAATCCAGAAGATTAGGATTTGAGAGAGCTCAAAGAGTGGATGCACCTGCGCCATTGCAAACGATTTTGAGCCATGTCATTCAAGGTCTCGAACCATTGATGACTTTCGTCTCGCGGACCCCAACCAGGTAGTCTACATCTACCAACATGACTCAGTCCACTTGTCAGTGACTTCATGGATTTGTGCCATGTTTTGGTCTGGCCGCCCCTAGCTTTCTTCCAACCTACTCCTACACCACAAAATATAGTTCGACGATGCAGTCGGTGGTTCGGCATACGTAACACATGTCCCAGCCACCTCAACTGGTGAAGTTTCACCACTTCATCTATTGATCTGCCATCCTTACCTAGTACTCGTTTCCTAACGGCAGCATTGCTTACTCGGCTGTCCCACGATATACGAGCAATGCTTCTTAAACATCTATGATCGAATACTAGTAACCTACGAACATCTTCTACTCTTAACGGCCATGTTTCACAGCCATATAAGAGAACGGAACGAACTGCTGCGCAGTACACCCGCCCTTTGGTTAGCGAACGGATATCACGCCTACGCCATAAGTGACGCAGGTTGGCAAAAGCCAATCGAGCTTTCTGTATCCGAGCTGAGATTTCGTCAGTCACCAGACCATCAGCACTGATGAGACTCCCCAGATAAGTGAAGTGATCTACACGCTCGACTACTTCACTCCCTATCACTAGTTCAGGTGCCGAAGCAACCCAGTCTTGAAGCAACATTTTGCATTTCGAGGGGGAAAACCGCATCCCGAACATGCTCGCATTGTTGCTTATGGTAGTCAGAAGACTCTGCATTTTGTCAGCGTCTTCACCGAATAGAACTATGTCATCGGCATATTCTAGATAAGTAAGCGACTTTCCTGGTAGAAGGTCAACCCCTGAAAAATCTGACGAGCTTAATGTTAACTCTAAGAGGATGTCTACGACAAAGTTGAACAAGAATGGAGAGAGTGGACAGCCCTGACGGACACCACTTGATGTAGAGAATTCAGATGACAGTTCGCCATATGCTCTCACCCGTCCAGTGGTGTTCGAGTAGAGTGCTTGTATAAGGTTAATGTACTTCTTTGGTACACCTTTCAATGACAGACACTGCCACAGAACCTCACGATCCACTGAGTCGAATGCCGCCTTAAGGTCCAGGAACACGACTATTGTCGGACGTCTAAATGTGTGTCTGTGTTCCAGGACCTGTCGTAGTGTGAAGATGTGGTCTATACAACCACGTCCAGGTCGAAAACCAGCCTGGTTTTCTCGAGTCTGCTCTTCGCGAGCTCTAGTTAGACGTCTAAGTATAATCGAGGCTAACAATTTAGAAACTATATTAGTTAAACTTATTCCCCTGTGATTGTCACAAGAGGACTTCTGTCCTTTCTTGTAGATTGGGACAATTAGCGACTGAGAACAGTCAGATGGGATTACGTCCATTTCCCAGATTCTACCTAGGATCTCGGTCAGTTTAAGCGTTAAAACTGGACCACCATCCTTAAACATCTCAGGGGTAAGCCTATCGGGACCTGCCGCTCTACCTCTCCTTAGATTTCCTATAGCTTTCTCAACTTCATGTAAACTGGGAGGACTTAAATCGATTTGCCATTCAGGATGACTGGAGATCGTGGGCAACCGAAGAGTGGCTGAAGGCCAGTTGAACTGATCCCTCAAGTGTTCTGCCCATCGGTCCAGCCTCCTAGATTGAGAATGGATAATAAGACCATCCTTTTCCGAGATAGTCTCACTTACATTCGGGTTCCTAATACCGGTTTCTTTGATAAGGCGGAAAAGTTGTCTACTGTTGCCGATCGCCGCTGCCTTTTCCATCGCTTTTGCTTTCGCCACCCACCACTGTTCACGGTCGTTACGTAGGCTTTTTATAAGTCTGCGCCTAAGTTGAGTACGCTCTTCATCATGTTCAGAGTCAGGTGGGATGCGTTTTCGTGCATCCATCAGTTCGGTGGATGCGACTGAAATCCACGGCTTCATCCTAGCCTTATGGTTTACCTTGCTAGCAGATATCACTGCTGTTTCCACAGCCTTCTTTATATCATTCCAACCTGACTCCGGATGGGAATCACTTGCATGATCGCCCAACTGTTTTTCTAGTTCCTCCTGAAATATTTTCTTAGCTTGATTATCATCAAGTAAAGCCCTAAGAGGCTTCCTTACGGTGTCTTTCCTACGTCCAGCAAGCCTCAAACAAATACGTGCTCGCACTAGGGCATGATCTGAATCTAAACATGTGCCCCAGAACGAGCGACAGTCCTCTATCGAACCCCTCCATCGGTGGCTGATGGCGATATGATCTGGTTGTGTCCAACGTTGAGACGACTTCGGGGGTCGCCAGGTCAAAAGGTGTTTTTCCTTATGCTTAAAATTAGTGTTTGCTAGAAATAGTTGGTTATCTGAGCACAGTTGCAACAGACGGTCGCCATTGTCTGTTCTTTGAGCCGCGAGACCGTAACATCCACCTAGGTGTCTTTCATTTTCACTTAGTCTACCTACTTGTGCATTGAAGTCACCAGCCATTATTACTATGTCAGAGCGCCTAGCTTTTTGGAGGAGGTCCGAAAGCTTTCTGTAAAACTCATCTTTTACATCATCTGGGCTGCAGTCAGTGGGGGCGTAGGCTGATATGACGAAGAGGCAACGGCGAGTGTCCCTATCTTTCCGAGTCCTTACTGTCCCGTTGAGTCGGACGGCGCATAAGCGACTATCTACAGGGATCCAGTCAAGGAGAGATTGTTCTGCCCTACGACTCAATGCTATACCTACACCGGCGAGGCCCCTAGAAGCAGCATCAGGGCTACCGGATACACGAAGGGTAAATCGAGCTGCTTCTTTATCTTGACATGGTGAGGTCAAATGAGTGATGCTACTCGGATCCTGTATGCGCGTTTCCGAGACGCAGCACACATCGATGGAACGAGATTCTAAAGTCCTAGCTAATGACGCCTGTTGCCCTATTTGACACAATGTCCGTACATTGAATGCTCCAACATGTAGTTTGGAACGGGGTTTAAGGAGACCAGGAACGACGTTTCGCAAACTCGCATCGTTTGCATTAGCTGTGCACTGTAATAAATGAATGTGAGAAGAGTTAGTTGTGGAGATAAGAGAGGTATTAGGGAATGTAGGAAGGATTTGATTTTGAACAATTTTGTCTCGTGTGCTGTTGCGGGTATGAGGGCAGTTATCACTTCCCGGCTGCCCACACCGTGGAAGGTTGTTTCTTGACGAACCTGAAAAGGAAGATAGATTAGTGTTGGTGCGTGACCGCAGAGTCCAAGGGACAACTGCTTCAGGCCGGTCACGCACGGCCTTTTTATGAAAGGTATTTAGAGGATTAGCTCCGTTCTTAAAGGCCCTTAGAGGGCACCCTTACCCAAGGAGACGGAAATCCGTGAGGTAGGGGAGGTGTGACATTTTTAGGGCCGACCTTTTCTAACCCTTCCTTCCTTGTGAGAAGGCAGCATCGCTGCAGATGCTGGTTGTCCGAGGGAAACACCTTACTGCTGTCACACCCCTCTGCAGTCAGCAGTACGACTTCGCCCTCAGACCTTGAGTAGCTGCTTTTAGTCTCATCGTTCTCCAATCGACCTGCCTGGCATGGTAGGACCTGCAGGAACATGTGTTCCAGCCAGTAAAGCTCGGTTGGGTCATCACGATAGGCAAGCCCGACCACCACGTAAAGGTAGCAGCTACGGTCGGGAGTCCAGTATACATTTTTCTAGGTATTGTATTGCTCATATCTATTTGAAATATTTCCTTTAGTTAGCAGAACACAATAAGTAACTTCGTTTCTTTATCAAGTACAGGCTTATTTACTCATCTTTGGACCACACTTTTATGAGGGATAGTGATATTACTGCTCAAGCCAAAATTTGACTTGATCCATTCATTTTCCTTGCCATTGTTCCCTCGTATTCTTATTAACCACATTCTGTTTACATCGGCAATCCAGCTGCATATCATTTACAAATAGTCATTGGTCTTCAAAGTCATGCGTCATCACTTATTTTTAACAAATATAATATTTGCAGAAACATCACTATAGTGTTTTATATACACGGAATAGTGTACTAAGACGTCATGCACTTATACATGTAATTCATTGTATAATTACTTGAAAGTTCTTGTTTCATGTTTTTAATTAAGTTTTAATCCTGAAATGATCATTGCAAATACATTTTTTTTAGATGAAGCGACAGAATGATGTACAGTTAGAATCAAAGCCAAAGGTTTGTAAAAAAAAAAACTGTTTAAAATGTATTTTTTTCATTGTAGATACAAAGGCGTACTGATTTTCTAGATGACTTAGATGGACTCCTTGTTAACTCGAAAAATTTCAACAAGGTATGACTTCAAATATTTTCTTATCTAACCTGGTCTTTTATTTTGAAAATTCCTATCTAGCTTTTTGTACAAAGAACAAGTCATGAATGGATCAAAGCTCAAGTTGATAAGCTTGTACAAAGTCATACTCATTTATCTCGATTTATTGAAGTTTTAACAGAATTTATTATAAGTGATCATCATCATCCACATGTTATTCAACAAGTTCTTATTTGGTTAAACTTTTGTATTCAACATCATTCAACTTGTATGCAAACACCAGAAATTCAAAAGTCACTGAAAAATTTATGTTCATATTATTATGAAATGTCTGGAATGGGAAATATGTTTTTAAAAGCTGCTAATCGTGGTAGTGCTGTGGAAAATTGGTCAAATATTCAAAATCTTGTTAGTCATTTTCCTCGTAGATTTTATTATTCAATTCTACCTAAAACAAAGTTTGTATACATTGATGGTAAGTGAGTGACAAAATGATGAGATTTTAGAAACTATATCTATGCCAAATTTCTTCATAAAATAATTAGTCATTGTCTGATTCAGTACAAGCAAAGATTAGTAAGCGATCTGTTTAGTAGGATTATTTAAATTTTTTCAAATAATCATATTAAAGACAAGATGAGGTTACTGAACAAAAATTATTAATCGTTATTCGTTTAAAGTCGCTAAATCTATGAAAAGGTCATAGTATAATGAAACAAAGGCTCAAATATATTGTCGGTCAAATGTACTATGCAAAAAGGTCATTGTTATTTAGAATACAAAGTCCATGTTTCATCGAAAACCTAGTCACTGTACAAAGGATTGAGTTACATCGCTCTGTGTTTATCAGTTAACATGTATTATCACACAGGCATAAGCATAAATGAAGTTGATTTGCAAATAACTAGTCCAAAAATGCACCAAATCAATAAAATAAAATGAGCGTGTAATTGTAGATGATAAACATCCGTCGTGCTACATTTTTTATCACATTCGAAGGATTTGTTTGTGACCAATTTCGTCTCACGTGCTGTTACGGGCATGAGGGCGGTTGACACTTCTTGGCTGCCCACACACCATGGATGGGTGTTTATTGAGGAACCTGAAAAGGAAGGTAAATTAGTGTCGGTCATAGAGACCTGGGGTCGTGACCGCTGAGCCCAAGGGACAACTGCTTGAGGTCGGTCACGCACGGCCTTTTTATGAAAAGCTTTTTGAGTGTTAGCTCCGCTCTTTTAAAGCCTTTATTGGGCAGCACTTACCTCCGGAGACAGAAATCCGTGAGGTAGTGTGAGGTGTGACATTTTTAGGGTCGACCTTTTCTAACCCTTCCTTCCTTGTGAGAAGGCAGCATCGTTGCAGATGCTGGTTTTCCGAGGTAAACACCTTACTGCTATCACACTCCTCTATAGTCAGCAGTACGACTTCGCCGTCAGATTTCGAGTAGCTGCTTTTAGTCTCATCGTTCTCCAGTCGACCTGCCTGGAATGGTAGAACCTTCAGGAACATGTTCTAGCCAATATAGCTCGGTTGGGTCATCACGATAGTCAAGCCCGACCACTACATCAAGGTAGCAGCTAAGGTTGGGAACACATTCGTAACAGGTCATAAAGTCAATCTTATCACTGACCTTATGGTTTTGTTCAAAAAATTGCTTGAGGTATATTTACTGAGGCCTTGACTACATAAAGATTCAAATCGCTCGTACATAAACAATCTTTTCTCTCTATAAATCTACTACGGTAATAGTGGTCTGTTGTTCAGAATGATGAGTTTCACATTGTTTTTCTTACATAGTTTTCTCTATTATCTGTTTCGTGTTACTGTCGTCTCTTAGTCGTCCTTTTATTATCTTCCATGTATGTCTGATGAGATCGTCTTAAATATATGACGCTACTATATCACGTAGTTCTGATACTCTTCGTATTATCACACTATCTGAATAAGTACGTAGTTTAGCAATACCGTAAGATTTTGTTCAGTGAGATAAAGTTAGAAAGAGAAAGATAGAGATAATGATGGATGCAGAAGGTTAGAATTTGACAGAACACAAACAGTGGATGTACCTGCGCCATTGTAAACGATTTTGAGCCATGTCATTCAGAGTCTCTAACCATTAGTGACTTTCATCTTGCGGACCCCGTACAGTTAGATCAATTTCAGGATACTGAATAACTAGCATAAAAACTGTTATTATCCTTCTTATAATACTCATAATAGTTCAAATATTTTAGAACGTTGTAGCTATTCATAATACATGTTGTTATAAAATAGTTCCATTTCTTTATCTCTAGATGAAAATAATCCTACTACTAGGAAATCAAATGTTCCACCATCAATAATTCTACATACATCTGATAATAATAATGAACAAAATCTACTAGACATGTTAGATGATGATGAATTTTCCGACATAGAAGATACATTATCATCTGCGATGAAAGATAATTCATCAGATTATGAACAAGAATCTTTATATTATCAATCCATTGAAGAATCTGATGCTGGTGTATTTGATGTT